CATAACAAAACAATAAACAAACCAAAACACACCACCCACCTGCCTGAAGACCAAATTAGTTCAAGTATTCAAAAGCTATGACTAGAAATAGCACTTGAAACAGGAAAAGTATTTTTTTCAAACAGCTATACGTCTGGCCAGGACTTTGGGACTATTGCATAATTCAGTGTTCACAAGTACCACCTAAGAAGTAGCCAAGACCTCCCTCTGAATACTACTTAACAAATTACATTTTCAAGCCAGATACTACTTAAAATCGTACTCCACTGTTCTACTCCCTCTGCAAGTGAGCAAAGGATCTCTCTCTTCCAGTGTAAACGTACAGGAGACTAACTGCTACAAAGTCCTTCCTTCCTACAGTTCTGATTAACGGAAAATGCATGAAATAAGACTCCAACTCCTACAAGGCACAGGGTTCTGTCCTTGATGCCCTGCAGCTCTCGAGACACCAAAAGGACAATTGACATGAAGAGGTCTTAAAGAGCACAAGCAGAGAGGAGAGGTTAAAAAAAGAAAAAAAAAAAAAAGAAAACAAAACAACATAGGCTATTTTCCTGCAGAGCGCACAGCGCTCTGGCACAGTCCATGGCAGTTCACCAACTCATGTAGCCCAAGCCTTGATATCTCAGCTAAAATAACTGAAGGCTCACATGATGTTAAATGTATCTATAGGTGAATTTTCATTGGTAGGTTAGGTTTTGCCATAACAAGCATAAATGTTTCCATCTTCTAGCTGCCATGTTGAACAGATGGGGAGTTGCTCCGATCAACTCAATGACCTTCACTGGAGAGCCCCAACTCTGAATATGATCTGTACAGGGAAGTTACCCTTCCCTACCAGTTGCAAGCAATGAATCCATACACTCACATTCCTACAAACAAGAGCTTAAAATTGATAATAATTTATAAGAAAAGATCAGTAGCTCAGCAGAAACTTACTTCTGAGTAACAAGATGGCATATGAACCAATGGTGGAATTCAGCAGCAAGACTCAGTCCTGACAGTTACCAATCCCGTTGCCCCTTGCACCAGCCAATGTTGAGAAGTTCAAGCAGTAGCGAACAGGAAAAGGAGTTTAAATGTTTGGGCAATAGATTTGTACTGTGCAAAATACACTTGCTTCCACTACAGGCACAACTTACACAGACACAAAATAAGCTGCTTCTTCTCTTCTTTTTAACCTCCTGTATTCAGCAGTGCATTTAACCTTGGAGCTGTCAAGCTCCATCATTAATAATGAGCCATGACAACACTCCAAGTGATCCTTGGAGAACAGACCAATTTTTACTATATGCTATGCAAGGCAAAACACTTATAATATTCCCATGGTACCGTACCTGCTTTGAAAATACACAGTAATGTGGCCATCAAGAGGAGACTACAAGTAAGTACAGAAAAAATAAGCAACTTCCTGATATTTCATCACCTCAAAACACAGAACAAGGAATAAAACATGTAACATCCTAATGTTTCCTTTTTAAACTTAAGCCAGGAGTGAGAAGATTTGTCTCACTGAATGTGCATTTCACACAAACATTTCACAGCCAAGGAACATCTGCATTTGCAACAACCCATGGTGGCTATAGTAGAGAGGGGACCCTGCGGGTCTTGCAGCACCATGCTCAGGGTCCCCTAGCAGAGGAAGACGAACACGGCACAGGAGAACATCCTCTGCCCCAAGCAGCCCCTTCAACATTCTCCGAACAAACATACATGTGCACCCCATACACATGGGGCTGCCAGAAATACAGGAAGAAATTGTAGCTGTGTGAATGACCAACAGTCCTCTACACCAATACCCTAACCATGTTGGCAGGTCTTTAAGAAAGCACAGCACAGGTAAGCATCCTAGTCTTGTTGCCACAACCAATAGCACAATGCATCATTTCCATACTCTGTATGGGCACCACTTTCCTTAAGCTTCAGTTTCAAAAAGTTACTATAAACTAAGGGAGCTTTCAAAAAGCTCTAGAGAGCAGGAAAGCAGCAATATCAGACAGTAGAGGCTTGGCTTTCATTAAGTTGCTAAGTTTGCAGTTTCAGGCTGCAGAAACCAGTCCTAAGCACTTTGAGGAGTTTTAAGTGCTAACACATCTCCCTCTCACTGAACTGCTGTTAAAAACAGAGCCCTCTCTCCTGCAAGACTGGATGGCTCATAGAGAGCCAAAGTCAGAAAATCGCTTGAGTTTTTGCCAACAGTTGAAGCTGAAGAGCCTCTACCACTGAAGTGATAATAGTTACATATAATAATGTGTTTACTGACAATTCTGTTTTCCATTTGGGGATATGACCACCCATACCCCTCTCCACCTGCCCTCCTTCCCCTCTACTCACATCTTTCACATACAGGGTATTTTGCAGCTACTCACATCATACCAGATCACCCCTTCCCCTGAAGCACTCCCAAATCAGCAAGACCTGTGCTATCACCACACAGCACTACCACCATCTCCCATGCAAAACAGTTCTGCTCTTAACAGAGGACTCGCTCTATATTCAAAGAGGTCCCCTAAAATTATAGGGACAATAATTTTCTTTTTAGCATTACAGTTAAAACACCCTCAGCCCTCCACAATACACCCTGTCAGCTTCTCCCACTCCCTGATAATATATTTCCATTTATGTCCCACATCACAGCTCTGAATGTTTAGCAATTCCATTCCATGCTAGCAATATCTGGCAATAAGATCCCTTTAAAAAAGGCTAATTACAGATTCCACTTGAACAGAAATTGGTACTGGGCCAACCTGTAAGCTCTTTAATAAGCTTTCAAACCTCACTCTATGCCAGACAAGACTTTGCTCTCCACTAGGAACTGTGACATACCCCTAAAAGCAAAGGTGGAAAGCTTGCAACTGCAAGAGAACGAAGGAAGGTCACAGCTCTAATTCTTCTTGCAGCACTGCACCTTCTCCATGCAAGTCTTTCCCTGGAGATATGCTGCCTGTGATTCACAAAACAAAACAAGGAAGCCAGTTCAGATACCATGAACATAATGAAAAGTAGTCATAAAAAAAACAGCAGACAGTTCTATTGGACGAGGAACAAAGACCAGTATGACAGTAAATGGGTCAAGGACTCGAAGGACTGATAACATTAAGAATGCGTGGTCATGTGCATGCATGGAGCATGGCATTTCCTGAGAACACTTGTGTGAAGGTGGAGTTCTAGTTTTCAAAAGGATGAAGGAACATAAAGCAAAGTCTCTCAAGCACCTCAGTACCTAGTCCCGTATCAGGACAAATGTTTTCTGCCTATATATGCCAGGCATTGCACAGAAAACAACAATCTCACCTGTGGATGCTCCTCTCCACCTTTGCATTGCTGCCACACTTTTGCTGTCTGGAAGCTGTGCCCACAACACATGGTGAAATCACATTTCAGCCAGACTGGTGTTCTGAAGGGAATTAATGCAAGACTCTGCAGACCACCCTTTGTGCTACCTGCCTGACAACTAGGGTGGAAACTGGAAAGGGTAATTAATAAAACAATGGTCAACATAAAGATAGTCCTGTTTTGAAGACACAATACTAGCACCCAGGAAAACTACGTAACAACTTTCTGTGCAAACTTAGGCAAGTCATCCTTTTTCACTGTGGTCAACGACTATGTGGCATCGCAGGCAGATGTCACACCTGATATAGTAAAATACTCCTGTCAGAGTGGATGACTGCCCAGAAAATCCCATCTGTAATGCATGGGAACCATGCGCACTGTGTACACAGCTGTCAGGAAGTCTCCAACTGGGAACTCAACCCAGAGGCACTTAGAAAAAAAAAAAAAAAAAAAAGAAGAGTTACGAGCATTACACATGTAAAGCATACACATCAATAATGCTTATTTGACAGAGATTAAACCCATGGATATCTGCAACATCCTCAGCTTGTAACATAGCTAAAAGTTTTCCCCACTGGAAAAGGCCACACTAAAAGAATGACTTGCAACAGTACCAGACTTTTCTCCTATATACAGATGAGTGTTTATGAGGCCAGCAGAAACACTCTTGTAAAAGGGCTACACACCTACTCCCTGGACACTATTAAAACACGTTTCTATCGTCTTGAAGGACACCTTTGGGGGCAGGGAAACAGAACCGTGGTACAACTGCAAAGCTTCACACATTGATTTTGAAAGGCAAACCACAAGCCTGGCCACTCCCCAGTCCCCTAAAAGCTGAGAATAAAAAAGCAGCAGGAAAGAAACTATTTTTTTCCAGCCTTATTTCTCTGATGTACCCATGCAGATTTTACTGAACCATTTGCAGTGCTTCCCAACTGAAGACAGATCTAGCAGGAAGAATTTAACCTAGAACCTCAAGACTATCAAAAATACAAGTACCTGAATACAGACTACCATGAGAAGTAAGAAATCCAAGACGTATGTTAATAGATGCTCTAATTATTAACACACGCACACAGAGAGCTTACAGAAGCACCAAGGCATTTGAAATGAAAAGCACTATTCAAATACAGATATTTGCCAGCAGCTGTACCATCACCATATTCTCTAGATAGTGGTTTTCTTTCAGCAGACATCAAGTTAATCCCACAGGACGGTATCAGTCACTTTTATAATAGCTACTGACCTCATTTCTGTGTTTGAGACCTGCCGTAGTGTCATGACTAAATGTAGCAAGCAACAAATCACACTCTGTCAGCAGCCAGTGCCTGTCCTTTCTCTTTTCAAAGCTTTAATTCATTTCTGCATTTTTTAAAGTCATGCTGCTTCAAAACAGCTGATCCAGATGGTGGATATTTGGATTCCAACCTTCTCACATGGTGATGTGACTCAAGAAAATAAAAACTGTTGCTACTTGCTGCTGACCTACTTCATTCTTTGTTTCCTGCCATACATCAGAATAAACAATACAGTTCATTGAACTCACCTTCCACACCTACCCACCACTATATAGCAAATGTAAAATAAAATTAGGAGAGGAAGAAGGGGGAAGGGAAAAAACCCAGCATGATCTAGTGGGGGAAGGAGGGAACAACTCTCACCTCTATCATAGTCATCTTCCTCTACTGCTTTTTCCTGAAGCCTCTGGAGCCATAAGATCAAGGATTTTATCTGTGCAAAGAGAAAAAAGTTAATGATGAAGTTGCATTTTAAAAATACTTGCACTATTAACCTCTACATCATATAAATTTAATAGATTACTAAATCGCTAGAATGGCCTGACTTTGAGAGTTAAGCCCACATTTGTTAAGTGGACAGATCCATTTGGAACTCAGCTGAACTGCGGCTACTTGAGCCAAGCACAGCTTCAGTCCAAATGCATACAGAGAATAACAAACAATATTTCTTGAAAAGCAAAAGAGATCATGTGATTGTAGGATACTTTTTACACTTTGAATAAATCAAAGTACAGGCTATTACAGGATTCTGACAACACAGCATCTACTTCAGATCACATTGTACTCTGCGTGCTCTAGAGACCATTCTAACAATTTTTGCTCCATATGAGTTTTGCACAGAACAAATCCAGAATTTCCATCAGAAAACCATTTTCTTCTGTAAGTAAAAGAAAGAAATATAGCATGAATGTTTTGGGACAGGTATACTCATGGCACAGAAAACTGCGTTCACATGAAGCTTATGAAGTTTATTAAAATATAATTTAGGCTCATCTACCTAATGCTGACATTTACATCTTCAAAAATGTTCACACTGCACATGCTAGATGGGGGGGAGAATCAAACCACCAAGAATACCTGTATCACACACAGAGCACCCTTTCACACCCAAAAAAGAAACTTTTACCACAAAAGAGGTTTTATTTCAAAAGCTACTGCTCATTTTTAACATAAAGGGTTTGGACAAGAGTATTAAATTTACTAAAAGTTTGTAATGGCCTTTAAATACACCCCTGGCTTTACAAGTTTTTACTGCAGAAGAATTTGGTAAGAAGGTAGGTAGTCCTCATTGCCATGCCAGCCACAGCCTAACATGGCTACAGCTACAAGACTGAGAAGTACTTGCTTCTTATTAAATTTACACATGGCCTGTACCAAACATATCATTATTAGCACTGAAAGAGGTAAGCCTGGAAAAACAAGCAGCATACATTCTCATAGCCCAAAGCCTGAAAGTGCTTGGGAAAGCATTTTTCAGCACAAGAAAGTCTATGCTTCAGATATTTTGCATTTACAAGAGATTTCACTCCTCCCTGAAACTCCTTTATATTTAAATCTCTGTATTTAAATTCTAGATTGCATAGAGGAAAAATAGATGAAGCCAGCTAGCAACTTACCACAAACATTAAGTTATCATGACTACACAATCAACACACGAATTAGGTAAGACATTTAAATTAACCGTATCCCTTCTAAATATGGTATGTGAAAGTCAGAAAATAACTAGAAAAAATAAAGCCAGAAAACAATCAAAACCAGGCTATAGGATGCCCCAGAGGGAAAAAGCAAACAACACTGCACAACATTGTAAATACTCCCTTTTCCTCAGGGGTTTATTTTATTTTAGTTTTCACATCCTGAAACTCCAATCTTTTTCTCTGAGACTGGTGAGGAATGTGTAACATATTGAAGGGAGGAGCCATGAATCCTCACCATAAATTATTTTCTGTATGTTATGCCATACTTTTGATAGAGTTTTAAAGAAGCCTGCAGTAGGAATTATTCAAATGACATTTTTCATATATATGATATATAACAACCATCTGCATTGAGAAGTCAGCTTTGCTGCTGTTTGCCATGTTTACTCCATCATTTGCTTGCAGTGGCAGGTCATTTAAAGACTGCTTGGGTACCACAGCCCAGGCATATCCACAGCAAACTGACTGATGCTGTCACAGTATTTTCCATTTGCAGGCTTGTAAGATGTTTGGAGCTCATCTAATCAAAGAGCTGCTTCAGCGTGGCATGTCTTATAACTGTACCAGTGATGGCCACAAGTACAAAAAAAGCATAAGTTTAACAACCTTGGTATTGTCCCCTTTTCTGGACTACAGTTGCTTTTGTTCCTTTCTGAAAGTTTGAGACTTGCTCATTATCATTACAATATGAAGAGGCTTCAAATTAAACATATACAACTGGCTAATCAAGGGCAAAGACATGCAAGGGCACAAATCCCCAATTCTCTGTTCAATGAATTAATGACTACAGAAATAAAAGACAGAAATGTTTCTTTTATACCTATCAAAGAAGCATGATGAATAGATAGAAAAATAATTTCCTATTTTGATTATGGTTTATATTCACAAATTTACAGTGAATTAGTTTCCCAAACTGTCCCAGGCTTTGGGCACATTCTCATTCCAGGCATGAAGCCAAAGAAACTGCTCCATAAAAATGTGTGTGAAGCCTGTACATAAGAGAACCTAGCTTGAGTCCAAGATGCATCCTCTATGGAAAGTAAGTATCAGAGAGCATTTTAAGCCGAGATCAGATGTCAAAACAAAAAACCCAACCAGCCACTTAGGGCACTGTAAACAGAAATGAAATCAAGCCAGTATTTGTCTCCTTATTGCAGGCAAGCTCAAAATAGTTTCCCTCCAACACCCACCCCACCATCCTAAAGACTCTATAACAAAACATAGCTAATCCTTCTTAAAAGTTTCCCTTCCCACAAAAACAAACACAGTGAATGAGACTGCCTGTGTGGTAGATATATACGTGGGTATACACAAATGCAAAAACAAGGACTCCTGACTCAACAGCCCAGTACTCCTCTGGTGTGGAAGGAAAAAAGGTTCAATTCCCAGTTGGAGTTAGAGCAAGGACTTAACCCTCATTTTTCTTCATGTGGGGAGACCACCCATCATCATTAGTTGACAAGTTACTCTCATATGGATGCCTCACTCCAAGAACTTGGCTAAACTTAATGCATTTCTAGTTACGAAGTTTAGTGTTGTTAAATCATGGCGCATCAAGAAAAGAGTTCCTACCACCCTCAAATTTCGTACTACAGATATTCCAAACTGCAGACAAAACAGCCATCTGTGAAAGAAAATGGTATTTGTTGAATTCAGAAACTGATGTGTGACATATCGGAAATAAGAGGATCACAGTTTCAGTCGAACACAGGAATAGGGTACTATGAAAAAATATCACTTTTCTTTTTTTAAAGGACCAAAAAGAAAACCAAACCAGTTCTCACTTTTATTATGCAGAGTGCTACTGTAAACCTTCATGAACAACTGCGATAAAAGCCATTAACATCCCAACTCCTACATCAGCTTTGACTTGGGCTCTATAAATACAAATGTTTTGAGTGCAAGGGAGGAAGCAAAGATGAAGTGAGATTACTAACCTTTAATGTACTACGGTTGCCAAGCAGGCAGTCCTGTAGCACTGGTTCATACTTTTTTATCAAAGTATCCCAGCTATGGTCACTAGCAGTAAAACTGCTTTCATAGCCTGAGGTAACAGAAGAGCCAGCAGATGCTGCATCTGAGGAATCCGCAGAATATGAGTATGTTGCATCTGTATCTGAGAGAGAGACAGTCTCGCAGTCCTGCAGTTTATCGTTCACTGTGGTCTCATTTTCATACGCCAAATCCTCACAGGGCCTAGAGAAGCAATGTAAAGCTCCCAAGTGCTCATGAGCGTGCATCATCTCTTCTGGCTTCTGTAGATTTCCTGCAGTGCTGGGATGTCGAACATACTCAGTTTCCTCAACAGTTGACTTGCCTTCAGAATCTCTTGCTACAGATGCTGAGTTCAGGGAGAGCTGTATGAAACTGAAACTTGAACTAAAGCTATCATGTGCCCCAACAGAATGAGAAATGACATCTCTGGTTTGATATTCACAGCTGTTACTCACTTCTGTCTGATCCAAAGCACACATGTTTGCAGGCTTGATCACTTTAGCACCATCACTTTTCTGCTGTGTAGAGCATACAGCAGAAACATCTCCTTTGTTTGTTGCTGCAGTGGAGTAAACAATTATTGCTGTGTTTTCTGACTGTGGACTCTTGCAACATGGAAGATTTTTGTGGCATCCTGGCATATTTCCAGTAGCGGACAACACTGTTACCCCATTAGCAGGAGCTACAGAACTACAGCATGAGAACTCAAGGTTACTTTGGCATTGTCTGCATACAGAGCAGCTCTCAAGGTGGTCACAGTGCTGCTTGCCATGCCTGAGCTCTTCTGGGCTGAATGGTTTGCAGGCACTCAGGGACTGAAAATCTACCTGTCGCTGAGCTTCTGACCTCATGTATCCAGGTCTTTTTGCCAGCTTCTTTTTACAAAGAGAGCCTGCAGGCATGACGTGCTCCTGAACATCTGGGGGAGGGAAAAAAAGTCATTAAAGTGTTTCCACAGTTTCCTAGGCTTAACATATTGCAGCATCTGAAAATAATCATTTCAGGAATTTCACACTGTGCATTGCTTTCTGTTTCAACAGAACAAAGACACTGACCATAATGCTGGTAGAGGAGAAAAGGTGTTGCCAGAGAATGCTGTGTATATTCATTCACTTTCTAAAGAGTTTGCACCTGCTTTTAAGCAAACTCACTAATGTAACTGGGACACAAACCTGGGTACAATGAATTGCATCATCTTCCCTATTCATAGCACCACTCTTACGCTTTTTCATTCTCAATTTGCTTAGCAGCACAGTAAAGCACAGTCCTGGTCAAAGTCCCCCTGATCCAGAATGATTTTCAGACTTACGAGGACATCTAGGATAGGACTGAATTTTCACCAAAAAGATGAGAACCATGCAAAGAAATTTTGTGCATAATCTGTTGTTACTCACATCCAGTTTCTTGTGTTCATATCCATGTGTTATCAGTATGAGCAAATGACTCAGATTCTGCTCCCAGAACAGATACAACTCTGTAACAGTCTGCAGCTGCAGATGTTAGTCTAATGAGATATTTTACACATTGTCATGTAGCTTTACTGTACTACCTATTGTTCAAAATATAATGTTAATGGAAAAGGTTTGCACACAGGACCATTGGTACTAGAAAACTAATGCCACCATATAATTGGTAGCATTACTGCAGTATTGATATCATTAAGAAAAAAGCTCAATAGCTCAATTTCCCCACACAGACCTTACTTACATAGGTGAAAAGATAGATTTACTGTTTGCAGAGCAGAATAGAAAGAAGCAAGATAAAAATAAAAAATTAATTAAAAAAAAACAAAAAACAGAAAACAAAAACACCACACACCAAACATTAAAAGTGGGACATCAGAATGTGGTATCTGGTCTTTGTTTTCTGCATATATCTAGTAGAAAAAAAATATGGGTGAAAAATTACATGGTGACTACTTTCAAATTCGCATGGATTTACTGCTGCTAGTCAAAAAGTATTCCATTCATCTGTCCTGCACACAATCAATGAGAACACAAGCTCTACACCATGATCCGTTTTGCAATACAAAAACATATTGACTGGACCTATTTACCAGAATCACCCTTCAAAGAGATCTAGTGACTACCTGAATCATGCCTTCAATTACCTGCCCCATGGAAACGGAATCAATTGCCCAAAGCTCAGGTGACAGAAACATTCTCATCACCCACACAGGGCTCTTCCAAAAACACAAGTTTCCAATTTTTTTCTTTACATGCAATAAATTTAATATTCATCTCTAATTACAACCCTTTGACAATTTTTACATTGATATATATGCATGTAATCTAAACCCCTCAAAAACTCCTAACACAGGTTTCATACACACCTCAATACAATGACATCCTATATAAAAACTTAAGCATTGGACCTGAAACTTCCCAGAAGAATTTTTCCAACATTCACTACACTTTCTCCAAATAACCTTCAACAAAAGCAATTTATACATTTTCCGCATCCTACAACAGTGGCACATCTCACCATGTGACTACAGTTAAGCTTCTGTATTCTGCTTCCTACCACCATAAATTAGAATACCCCAGCTGCCTCTTACATTGCCTTTTGTCAGAGGAAAAAGCATCACAGAAATCAGAAATAAAAAGGTCAGGGAGTCCATCAGCCTGCCTCCTATAAAAAGACACTGAAATACTGTACTGGGAGTAATTTAATCGAAGTCTTAACAAATAGGAACTGCTTTTGGAGTAAGGGAACAAAAATTGAACAAAATGTTCTTTAGAATTTAATTCTTTTAATTTATATACAGAATAACAGCCTAAGTTTCCTTTCAGCAGAAGAAATCAGTCATGCAGAAAAGTCATTCTAAGACTGGATATACTTTATCACCACTTACAAAGACCAGTCACAGGCCTCATCTGTAGAAACGGAAAAGGTTCTTTGGTTTAATTAAAATCAGCTTAAAATTGTTCTCACTAAATCACTATGAATTTCTAAAGCAGACAGATAATCACAGCTCTTTAAACACCAAATTTAAACTAAGCTAATGTAAGTAAGGTTTAAATTGGCCAAAGCATAGATATTCACACAAAGTGAAATGGATGCGACTCTACAAATTCTTGGAGCCAAAGTGGTACAGTTGCAGTACTTTGAACTAGTCCATGCAAAACTCACCCACTTCGGTGCTCCTCTAGACAGGTTTACCATTCAGCTCCTTTACAGACTCCAGGTATGCTTTCTGGCAAGTCCAGCAGCACAAATCCTTCACCTGGCTACCAGACCAAAATTACAGGCCAAGCCACAGGCTGTTCAGCAGATGTTACGAGTAGAGGGCTGCACGTCCTAAGCCCCAGAACAACTGCATCTGAGCTGGTCAGAGCTGCACTCTGCATAAGCCAGAGAAGGAGGGAACAGACACAGAGCTGGGACCAGCACCTCAACACGAACACACACACCTTCCCCAAGGGATGATGGAGGGAGAAGGTGGCCACAACCTGATCCCTGATTCCAGCCAGAGAACAGTCGTAGTACCCTCAGCCACCCTGAAACCCAGCCAGGATGCTACTATGGCTTTGGGTACCCTGTGTGCTCTTTACCCTTCTGCCATATCTCTTTTTTGAAGATCAGAACAATTTCAGTTGTTTATCATCATGTATCTGAAATTAGTTACAGAAACTTTGGTTTTCTGCATAGACTTCCAACCATAGCTTGCTTTGTTTGCACATCAGATACAGAAACTCCACTGAACTAATTCAGCTAGATTACTAAAGAAAAGCAGGCCTCAAATTTTTCTTGCAATTCCCTCAGTTTCAAGCACAACAAATAACTGATGGCAATTAACTTCAAGGCTATCAACACAGATCCCTGGCAGTATCTTGACAGTGAAGTAACTGAAGGAAATTAAAATACTCCAACATTACAACATGCAACACATTGTATGACGCATGCACCTGGGAAAGAGTCACAAACAGAAGAGAAGGGCCTTTCAATTATAATACTACAAACTAATTTTTAATATGTTACAATCTAGAAGATGATGGAGTGTATATTCTAATGTCAGACTACACAAATTGCTTCAAATACAAATTTTGAAAGCCCAGAAATAATTAAAATAGCTTTTTCACCATAACAAACTTTCCTAGCGACCAGCATTTCATAAGATCTAACAGCTCAGAGCCAAAGCACAGTGGACAGGGAAAGGGGGAAGCCTATTGTAAAGCAAGGCTTGACCAGCAATGTTGTTCACAGCTGTACCAGTAATCAGAAAGAGGGAGAGGTAAAGCCAAAGAATGTTTTCCACTCTGCTCAGTGGGAAATTGGGTACAGTGGGAATGACCACAATAGTGGCAGTTCAATTTTCTCACCAAAGGCTCCAGTATCATTTGTGGACAGACAGGTTTAACTACCTTACATATTTATGAAGTCCAATAGGATTTTATAGATCAGCACAGAAACTCCGAAGCAACTATCTCCCCAACCCTGCTTTAAAGACACAATGCAAAATGCTTGCAAGCTCATTAAGTCCTCCCTGAAAATAACTGAGAAATTATACGTACAGTTTTAAAGAGAGCTCAAGTATATGAATACACCTATATTAAACACAGTTTATTTTTATTAGAATAACAAATTCACCTTCAGAGCATTGGTAGGTGGTAACTGTGGTGTGGAAGGAAAGACACTTGGTCATATTCAAATCCTACTATCAAAGCACTGCTCCAAGCCATTTATGTAGTGCTCCTTCTGTTAGGGAAGCCTTAAACATCTGCATAAAACTGTATGCCAACAAAGTGAGATGACAATATTCATCATTTACAAATATAGACACACAAACATTTAACATACCAGTAAAAAAATAATCTCCCAGGGATTATTTGATCTGGCATGACAATAACCATTACTGTTCAGTTCCTACATCATTAAAATATATAAAATGTTTCAGGTTCCCAATTAGTTATATTTTAATTCATTTGCTGAATTTCAAAGATACCACCAACTCTTCAAAATAAGATGGCACTGATCTCAACACAGCCTATGTTAAAACAAACCACCACCGTCGCCTTACACAGGTAAACTTCCAAAGAAAGTTACTTCTCAATAAAGATTTTCATAACTCTTAAAAAGCAAAGGTCTCAGACAACTTTTTGACCTTACTAATGGAATGTTAACAATGCTTTATCTAGCATTTTATAAAGTGTATCTACAGAACAGAAGCAACGGCTGAGCTACATTACATTTGATACCATTTGCAAATTATTTCCCCACTAAGAGTTCCTGTGATTCCTAAGGTCACAGACTGGGTTCAGTTATTCAACTGCTAAATTTCCAAGACAGCACATACACGATATTTTCTGAAGTCATTAAATGCACGTTAGTTTCCATTCTTCATTAAAAACTCTTCAGAGTTGTGCATTTTAGAAGTCAAAGTGCTCTTCCATAGCCAGTGTTTAAATAATTGTGTTTGTATTGACACACTCCCATAACACACGTCATTGAGTTGTTACATTTGAGCCACTTACCTCCTTAGCACAACTCATTTTATGCTATGATGAAATTACTGCACCTCTCACTACAGTAAGAATCACATTAGCTGATACCAGTTACAATATGCCATAAACTTCTTTTTTCCCCCTTCAGGAAAAATGGTTTTAAACACAGGTTTGCCTAAACACTAAGAAACAAAAAAAAAAAAGAAAAATAGCTGTTAAAAAGCAAGCTGATAAATATCAAAAGCTTCCCATATCAGTAATAATCACCTATTTAGTCAGGGGGAATAAAGAATTTGCTTAATTACATACTGTAATTGTGCTTGATACTACTAAGACTTTAAAACACATCTGCATCATCAGTATTCAGCAGGGCACTGACTGCACATAAAGCAGGCTTTTTTCTCAAGCAAGTGCCTTGCTGAATCAGGGCCTAAGCACCTTGATGTGACAGAAAGAACAGAAATATGCCTTTCTG